GTTTCATTCATGAGACAAATATATGAGAACAACTGTCTTCAAGGTGTATTATTTCCACTTCTGATGCTTGCAATGGTGAAGATGAGTTGCCTGTACTGATTTGGAAGTTGTATTAAAAAGGATGAGAATTGTGAGATTTACAGTTGGAAAAATCACATCTAGGATGAGAAGAAATTATAATGCCCGTCACATGTCTATGGCTAAACATTGATGCCAAAACAAGAACCAGAAATCTTTGTGCAGATAACAGTTAAAGCTCAATTATTCTACTCTTGATCATTTTCTGCTGTCTACCACAATTTACAGGCAGTGCACAAAAGAAATGTACCCATATGCAAAGAAGTATTTGCATCAATTAATTGCCACTGAATGAGAATTACAGCAAATGCCTGCTTGCAACAACATCATCTCTAGTTCACTAGCATGCAGTCATAAGAACCTCTCCTGTGGTCTCTTCCAGTTTACAAGGTGAGCTTTTCCATCTCCCTCCTCAAGGCGGTGGCTCTCACGAGGCTGCCGATGGTGTTCACGGCGAGCTTGATGTCGTCGAGGGGGTTCCCCGGCACGACCTTCTTGTACAGGTAGCTGTCGAAGGTCATCTTCTGCACGTACTCGTCGGCGCACATCTCCACGAACGCCTCCCTGGCCGCGTTGGAGCGGTAGAACAGCTTCTGCAGCACGTCGAGCACCTTGTACGTCGGCCAGTACATCTTGTCGAACTTCTCCAGGTACTTCCTCAGGTCGCCCTCGTCGATCATGCGGCTGCCGTTCTCAGAACCCTCGACGATCGCTTCCGCGCACATCCGCCCGCTCTTCGCCGCGAAGTAGATCCCCTCGCCGGAGCACTTGGTTACGTAACCAGCTGCGTCACCTACAAGTGCCACTCTTCCCAATACCCTGTTTCATCCGAGTACTGGTTAGCAATCAACAGAGCGAAGAAGAAGAAGTAGAGCGAGGAAGATATTACCTTCGAGGGCGAGGGTGCTCGGGAATGGGATGAGCCTCGACGCGGATGATGGTGCCGCCCTCGATCTTGTCCTTGGCGCGGAGGCGCGTGGCGGCCTGGAACTTCTTGATGTCAGCCTTGTGGGTGACGGTGCCCGTGCCAACGGCGACGTGGTCGCACTTGGGGAACACCCACCCGTAGAAGTCGGGCGAGACGTCGTCCCCCACGTACATCTCTGCTCGCTCCTTGTAGTACTCCATCTTCGTCTCTGGGATGCGCACCCGCTCCTGGAACGCGATGGCGTACTCGTACTCCCCCGCCCCGATCGACTTGGCCACCCTCGAGTTGGCCCCGTCCGCCCCCACTACCGCGTCCACCTCCGCCGTCCGTCGCTCCCCCGCCCCCCCTCCCGCCGGGGAGAACTCGTTGTAGTGGATCCTGTAGGGGCCACCGGGGCCCTCCGGCTGCTCCAGCCGGAGGAACAGCCCGTTGATCACGGACGCCCCCGCCTCGGCCGCGCGCTCCCTGAGGTAGGCATCGAGCACCTCCCGGCGGACCATGCCGATGTACTCGTCGGGGCCGAGGGTGCGGCCGATGTCGACGGCGACGTTGGAGGGGGAGATCATCTTCATCTTGGTCACCCGCCGGTCGATGAGGTCGAGGGGGAGGCCGAACTCCTCCACCATGCACAGCGGGATCGCCCCCCCACACGGCTTGCAGTTGTCCAGCTTCCGCTCGATCAGCATCGTCTCCACCCCTCCCTTCGCCAGCGCCTCCGCCGCGGACCCTCCCGCGGGGCCGCCGCCCACCACCGCCACCCGCAGCTTGCGCCCATTCAAACGGGGGCTTGTGCGGCTCGCGCGGACCACGCCGAGCTGCCGTCTGCGGAGCTGGGAGCCAGGCGCGTCTGCCGCCGCGACTCCCCTCAGGATGCGGGTCTCGCGGCGGAGGCCGGCGAAGGAGCGGAGGGATTCGCCGGCGGCGGTGCTTGTGGTGGTGGAGAGGGAAGCCATTTAGCTCAGTGTGGTTGCCGTCTTGGATTTCGACTAGATTCGGTTCGATATTTGTGCTTGCCGATGCGGGGGTTTGGATAGCGTGGTGGAGATTGCGCTGCTTTCGACAATCGGATGAAAGATTTGGACGGACCAGATTCGATGTGGATGAGGTTATGGGATTTTTTCTATTTCTTTCTTATATTTCTTCGTAGTAAGCAACACAAATGCTTCTCTAATTTAGGTGGATGAGGTGCAGCCACGTAGTATCTACATGGACGTGAGGATAGCATTAATCAGCCAATGGACAGTAAGACACGCAATCACTGTTAAGATGTCCGATCCCTATCACTAAGATTTTAGTACATCTTTTTTTTCATTACTAAACTTTCAATGATGAATCAATCGACAAAATGGATTAAGGAACTCTCTCTACAATATTTTTGAATATGTTACAGTATTTTTAAACTTATAAAAATATTATGATATTATTAAAAAAATTATAATTAACTATTTTTTATATGTTCTCATTCCTAAAATAATAAAAAAAATTCTTATTTAAAACCATAAGTTAGTTTGTG